TTCTGTAAGTTATGCTAGTTTCTTGTGTTATAGCGGAATGTGGATACATCAGAAAGCTGCAGTGTTATGTTTGCAAGTGCCTCACCTTACTAACACATGGCTAACATTAGCTCGCTAACAGCAAACTTTTTCCATGCCATCATCATTTTAGTTATCAACTGCACCCCTAGTAGACACAGGGTGCTAAAATAATCCTGACAAGAAAGCATGTTGACCCTTTCATGGAGACATCACTGAGGCTACATCCACACTAATACATTTTGGTTTTACGACACACAGTCACTACTGAAATGATCAAATTTGCTTTCCTTTTCGTTTTTACTAAGAATGTATCCAAGGAGCCCGATTCGGCTGCCAATCTCACAACTGAATTGTCGCAGAGCAAAACGTTGTGATGAAACAATGGATCATTCCTTAATAACAACATGGCTATTTAAAAATCAAAGAATAGGCCTACACTTATTAAACACACATATAGACTGAAATCAGCTGGGGGAGGCACATAGAAACAGCTGTTTGCGGCTTGCTTCTCTCTCTCCTGTACCTTCTCTTCCCTGTCGTTTCCCGTCTGTAGATTGCTACCATGGGGATGATAGAATTAGGACCGTAGTTCTATTTACAACCACGACAAGCAAGCAGAATAAGAAACCCTGTCTCTGTCTGCCACACACACACACACACACACACACACACACACACACACACACACACACACACACACACACACACACACACACACACACACACACACACACACACTTTAGGTTAGACTCGAGTATTTAAATTCTTATATGCCCCTATTAGTTACCTTTTCAACCACTTGGGTTCAATATAGTGTAAAAACCTTTTAAGGCAGATGGCCAGGCCCAGCCAGAGATGGCCACTGAAGTAGGAAGCAAGAACATTGTTTTCAGGGACTATGCCACTTTGTCTGGAGTGAAGAGGCAGCCATATTTTAACAACTCTTCCACCATTTAGCCCTTTGTGACATGTCTTGTCACATGATGCCGGGCCCGGCATCATTTCAAACCATTTCTCCAAAACTCAGCCCAACATATTTGTTACCTTTGGAAACTCTGGGAACTTTACTCAAATTTAAAATTAAGTTCTGTGGATTTGAACAATGTTTGTTTGGACAGTGTGAGTCTGCAGGGCTCAAAATACCACATGCATAGGCACGGAAGTGCATCAAAAAAATGTATCAGTGTATGGAATTCTCAGCACTTCATGCATCTGTGCACGTAACTTGGGACAGAAAACATGTTGTGCAGGCTTGCCAACTCTCGAGCATTGACCATGAGATGTCCATTTTCTCACGCAATGAAAAACTAATTTATTACAGATTAACTTTGCAGCGCGAAAAGTGGTCACTGTCGGCACGTGGACAGAGGAGACAGAGCAGCACCGTAAAACACTGCAGTTATGCAAGCACTCGATTGCGTAAATCCGGTCAAGCCAGCCCCGCTAGGTCCGTTTGTGCTGTTATGGTACCGTACTTGGAGCAGCCAAAGACAGCAATAATTCATTATGCATCGCATAGTAAATAAGTCTTATTGAATATGTGATGTCATCAAAGAAATCCTAAATCCCCAAAAGGTTTCTGGAATGTAATTTGCTGAGAATCACAATGGATTTCTGCAGAATATGTCCCCGACCATGACCATATACAATTTGAAGTAGTTTTATTGCACATTATTGTACAGAGAAAGTAAGCTCAAATTATATTGTGAAACTAAACTAATAACAATAAATAAGTGTACTCTTGTTCAGAATGACTGCAGCTGAAATGCCAAGAAAAATGGACAAATGTACCAAATGGTGCATAGAAAACAATCTTTGATGAGCATGTACATAGAGTAGTATTTCAAGCACTGGTTTGAAACAACTAGCTGGCTGGCTTTTAGTGGTGAAAATCACCAGAGGCCCCACGATACGATACCACAATACGCAAGTCCCGAGACGATATTATCATGAAACGTAAGTCACGATACGGTATTATGACATGTAAGTCACGATACCCCAATACGCAAGTCACGAAACAATATCACAATACGCAAGTCACGATACGATATTATCATGAAATGTAAGTTACGATACCATATCACTATACATAAGTCACGATACGATATCATGAAACATACGTAAGTCACAATAAGATATCACTATATGTAAGTCACGATATTATCATGAAACGTAAGTTACGATACCACTATACGCAAGTCATGACACGTAAGTCACAATACGCAAGCCACGATACTATATCACGATACGCAAGTCACGATATCACGATACGCAAGTCACGATATCACGATACGCAAGTCACGATATCACGATACGCAAGTCACGATACGCAAGTCACGATGCGCAAGCCACAATCCGATATCACGATATGCATATGTAAAATCTTACCATTGATAATTTTAATTATGTATTATAAGCTGCTTAGAGCTAGTGCTAGGAAATTAAACAGGTCACAATTCATCTATAATATCTATTTATGTTGCTGTAAAAACATCTCTTTAAAACAACTGGGTTTATTCAAGTTTCTCACCAAAACTACATTTACAAGATTACATTTGAACACATCATGATAACGTTATAAATTTCTTTTGTCCAATACCTATTTTTACTGAATGGAGTTTGAACGCACCACAATGTAACTCAATGTAACCTCCTCACAGCTCTGAGCAGCACTTTATAACAGCTGTCAACGTTACTAGCTCTCCTCCAGTCGATTTCAAAACGGATTTGTTGTTCACATGTATCATTATCAGACCAGCGACTAGAAAGCATTAATGCTGATCTCCAGATCGCATATTTTCACCTAATACAGGATGATGATGGGCAGTAAATTGGATTTCACACTTTGATGGTTAAACTTTGTAATTATCTGAGATTCACACGACTCTCTGGTCATTTTATACATCTAAAATGCTCCCACGCTGCTGATTTAAGGCTCTTTTTGGCTGATGTAAGGCTGGAGTGCTGGTTCCGTCTAAAAAGTTTACAACAACACTTCAGGTGAGCGGCAAGTCATTCAAACACACAAGACAAACCGGCACACACACAGGTGTTAGAGGACTTGCACTAGAGGACATTTCACCGCACACACAAACATGTCGTTATTCAGGACATCCAAAATATCTTAGCTTCTTCAATTATTATGGTTATGAAACCATGACATAACAGCAGTTATGGTCAAATCGGTTAATACAGACATCCCTAACTGCCATATTAATAGTTGATATAAAAAAAAAAGATTAATACTTGATGTTCGTGTATTGATGAAATATTGCCATGCAAAATAGTGGGATACTATGCTGTATAGATTATTTTTCTGCCCCACTCTTACTGGCTTTCTTAATAAAATAGTCTAAAGTGTCCTTTTTTCAGTCTCAGTCAGTAGAAAAGATCAGTTCTACTATGAAAGCTTCAAAACCACCAAAGACGAAACCCAGCTCTTGGAAAAGAGCAAAACCTCTGACAAAGATGAAGCTACTTAGAGAATTTGGTACGATTGAAGTTAGAATACTGTTGTGTGTTGTGTTGTTAACAAGACTAATTTGTTATCGATAGAAATTGTAAGGAATTTAATTTAATTTTTTATTTATTATACTATATTGATCCCTTTAAGGGGGAAATTTGTCTCTGCATTTGACCCATCCCTGTATATAGGGAGCAGTGGGCTGCCAATGACAGGCGCCCGGGGAAAAACCAACCTTTAAACCAACCTTTCAAATGGAACTAGTTCATTTTCAGAGTAAATCCATAAATATTTTTATTGTGACTGATATTATTCTGATAGCTAGGGCCAGAGCTTTCTAGGGCTTACTTGCATGCATTGTTACTTTTGTCATGTTTGGAGGCTATATTTGCTCAGGCTAAAGCTGGAGATTTAGTTGCTTTTTAGCCTTGCGTTGGCGTGGACCACCAACTGTTCATATACCGGCCTATGCACAACACGTGCTCCACTAGAGGGCACACCAGAGAACTCAGACCATATAAAACTTATTGATTTGCATGTACTATATTGTTAATTCTGAGGTCATGGCAGAAAAAGAAACAGTGGTGCCATCGTAGATGGTATGTGAGGCTCCTAAATCAAGCACTTCGACTTCTAAAATGGTTCTGATCCGTCACTATTTTGACAAGGATACTTGTCACTGTGCAAAGGCAAAGACGCAGTGTACAAATGCAGGTAATTGCGGACCTGGTCTCTTTGCTCGTCTTTAAAACTTCTAAAAATAAGTGTATCTCCTGACGAGTAAACGGCCACATGTAAAAGCAGCTGGTCCCGTAGCACATGGCTTTCCGTCTGTTGATGAGTTTTGGTAAACAAGAACACAGAAGTCTCTGGAGAACGACCTAAGAGAGGAGCAGAAGGTTGCTGGGAGGCATCAGCACACACGATGTACACTGTATGCTGACTGACTCCGATTGGTCAGGAAACACATCTACTTGTAGCCAGTGGGCCCCAGACTGCCCACAACACTACAAGCCATAGAATGATTAAAATACACAGGAGTGCACTTCCAAAAGGTTGTGAGATTGAGACTGGAGTAGTAGCTTGTTTCGAAAAACTGCCAATGTGCTTTTGCTTAAGTCCAAAAACAGTGACTTAAAAGTGACTAATATATCAGTCCTGCTTTGAAACACATGCACAGCGATACATGGACAGTGCTGGACTGTTATTTACTGAGCTGCAATAGTGTCAGCGACAGCCAGTGTTTGGAATAGGACTACACTAACCAGCATGTTTCTTATTGTAACACTCCAGTTGATATGAATATTAGAAAAATATAAAATAATAATTGTATAATAAGATATCACAAGTGTTCCAGCAACAGGTCATACTGCTTGTGTACTTTAGCCCTGCTGTAATACACTTCATAAAACCTTCACACTTATTACGGAAATTGACGCAATATCTCAAAGTATTCACAAAGAATGAACGTGTGTGTGTGTGTGTGTGTGTGTGTGTGTGTGTGTGTGTATCCTACCTTTAATCTTGACAGTAGGGGAGTTGGGTCCAGCGGACTGCTTCCTCCAGCCCCTCCAGTTCTGACAGAGGCTCTCGGCCTCTGAGATGAAGGAGCACAGAGAGTCTTCCTCGAACCGGTCCGAGTCTTCGAAGGAGAACCTCTCTCCATCCTCCCACTCGGCGAACATCAGTTCCATTACATCCACTTCTTAACTGCTTCCGAGTCCAGGGGACTAAGACTAGAGGTCACGGCCTTTTGCTTCAATCTAAAAGATTCAAGTGAGACCCGGCGGACAGTGTCCAACACTGGGGGAGAATAAGAGTCTGAAGACTGGGGGAGGGGAGGCCACTAGCAACCAAAACAACCAGAACACAGCTGAGAGAGAGGCTTATTACCGCTGGGCCCTCACACATAGCTCCATAATACGGACTGTACTGAGCCAAACTCACCGGATAAGTGTTGTTACTGTCAAACAGAACGAGGAGAATAGAGTGCTAAACTTAAAATGTACATCCACTAACGTTATGCACGAATACACCAGATAGAGCTCCAACAGCGCTGACAAGGGATGTCGATGTGATTCTTTAGAAGTCATGAAGTTGTTCTACTTCTTTCAGCCAATCAACTGGACCACTAACGTTGATATCTAGATTATCTGTTAACAGTTACACGAATCCCGAAAGTGTGTGTTTCATGGCGAAATACTTCAAAGAGTCGACATCAAAAACACACGTAGCTTGTAGTAATGCCGAATGTCTTCTTTATTCTACATTTAGTGTGCTAGTTCTGTTAGAATGCTGGGCTGCTAATGCACATAACATTTAGCCGACGTTAGCTGAAATGCTAATTATGCTAATAACCGCATACTGCAACACAAACATCTGTCATCCGATGCAAACGACTATATTAAAGTTAAATTGGTTTACGAGCCCCAAAACACGTTTGTTCAGGTCGGTTTACCGTCGTTCTGCTCCGGTACAACCGTGTATTAGCTAAGCTATATGCATTAGCAATAGAAAGCTAACCCCAATCGGCTAAGTTGAGCTAGCTTCAATAGCTGTTTGTTTACATTTACCGGTGACGATAAACACCTTTCGTACTGTACGAACTACATCTTATTTACAGCGCGTATCTTCTAGACTTTTGCATTTTCCTAGTTTACATAATGTTCTTATTTCGATCTTAATCCCCCCTCCGAGCTCAATGTTTTCCTTTCTTTGTATTAGTATAAGAGCCTCTTCTCTGACGTTCACAGCTGATATATCCCTCAATCAGCTCTGATGCAGATATCTGAAGAGTCCTTCACATGTCTTCCTTCCCGACTGACACCAGCTGTCCGTCGTCTTGTACTCGCCTCTGCCTCCAAATGACACCAGAATCCCCAGATGATTTCCCGCATCCCCCTCGACCAGGCTCTATTAGAGTGTATCTGCCGGGGGAAGATGGCTCACCTCTCTTCGGCTCCTCCTCTATCAGCTGATCACAGCTTCCGGCTGCCAGCTCCAGGCAGCGTTTCAGATGGCTTTCAGCTCGGATTGAGGCGTCTCCAAACCAAATACACCGACCTGAGCATACTGTCACGTAGAGCGCTCTGACAGTTCAAAGCTGATATTGGGCTTTTACATTCTTGACTTTCGATTTCATTTCTATGACCTTATAAATATGTCCCATCCTGACCTCAAGAGCTTGTGGCCACATTGCTTACTTGAGGTGCACTGTCCCTGTTACAGTCATGGCTAGTGACTATGGCCCATAGTTATATGAGCAATGGTTGAAGAACTTGTCAGTTCCTTTGCTGAAGTAAAGTAGCAATAACACAAATTAAAATTACATAGGTACTAAGAAAATGTAGGGAAGAAAAGAGAACATATTGATTGTGAAAAATGGAACCTCATCCAGATTTTTAAAAAATATGTAGAACATTCGTCAATTCTCATTGTTGAATCTGAAATGTAGTTGTGTAGAAGTCTAATGCAGAATGAAATACTCAAGTAAAGTACAAATACCTCAAAACTAAGCACTTGTGGCACAATTATTGAAAGCACTAACTCATGTAGCATATATCAAGTATCTGAACCATCAGCACATTGTCTGCCTTATACTATGTTTGAAATTGTAAAACACACCTTTTCCAAATAACTACAGTTATCTACAATATACAAAACTAGAAGCCTGTGTGTGTGTTTTTTGAAATATCACACTCAATTATCAATCACCTGCACCCAGAATGCACCTGTGAAAACACCTGTTACAAATTAGATTGCTTAAAAATCAGAGATTGAGCACTATAATTCGGACTTTTGCTGTGCACAAAAAATACTGTATTTAGTTAACGGTACAATATAGTAACAATGTAAAGCGTAAACTTTATTAGAGAGAGCTATTTTTTTGGTAATTGTTTGTAAAGTTGTACAAAAATACCACTTTTAGAGTAGTTAATATAGTTAAATGTTTGCTTTTGCCAAAGATGTTCGCTATTTAGTATTTTGAGTGTGTGTTTGGGGATTTTGTGTAAAGAGGGCCCCAGAAATGTTGTTTTAGCAGTTGCAAAAAATGCCATTATTAATTAATACAATAATTGTTTTGTTTCTGACTCGTCTCCATCTCTGTATTGTTGTGTGTGCAGAAGGAATACAGATTTTGCTGCAGAATTTGCTGTCCACTGCTATTGCAAACTTAATGTTTCCTCAACCTGTTCCACATTAAAAGCCTTCCAGCTACTCCCTGTAACTGGCTATTTAAGCATCAGCAAGTGCTGATTGTCATAAAGTTATTTTTGCCATAGCTTTTTTATCGAGCATTGATCTTACAGAATAAAATCCTTTGTGAGGGATTGTGTAGAATGTAATCATTAGTTTTGAGACATGTATTGAATGGTATTGCCAAAATGAACAAAAGGCTTCAATTTTGAATAGAGACTAGACTAGACTAGTCTTTGTTAAGGGGCTTGTGGTTGAATACTGGTTCCCTCTTAGTGGAATTTGACCAGGTTAAAATGAACACTACTAAGATAAATACAGTTTAACAAAGTAAAATAAATTAAATTGATAAAAGATGGAAATTGCATTGGCCAATGCAGAACATAACACAGAAAAAAGTATACCGTATATAAACTACAGGCAATGTATTCAAAAAATAAATACAAATGAATTATCCAACACGTACCACAATATCAGCTGAAATGATGGAGGTTTTAAATATATTTTTTGACACAGTGCCCCTTTCCAAGACGGGAAGCTCTTATCATATCAGTTGCTACTATACACATTCCCATATTCCTACACATAGTCACAGTTAATCAGATGACTGATTGGTATTTTGGCCTTCTTATAAGGCTGTGTAGACTATTAATGGACTTGCACTTATTACACTTTTTACTGGAGGCGGACAGACCTGTAATTACTTACTTAGCAAACACAAGTACATTTTGATGTCATTAAATGTTAGAATAATATGAATAATGGTCTTCATGGGTTAACTTGGTTCCTAGTACCCGGACCCAAATTGAATTGCCACAGGTCTTGGGCCTGTGTGTCAGTGTGTCTTTCTCTTTTCCATCAATCCTGGTTGGACAGGTTCTACTCTCCATATGGAATAGTACCCATCAATAAATCAATATGTATTTATGCATGTTGGGTTCAAGCAGGTTTTTCGATTGGTCCACTTTGTATCAGGTCCAAAATTCTGGACCCATAGGGACTTGTATTGTCCAGCAATACTGCAGTTTGGGCAAATGTCAAATCTGCAACACATGATTAAATAAAGCAACCGTTTAACACTTGCTGCGAGCTCATCAGCAGGGTTCCTCAAAGTATGACACAACACATGTTTCCCCTGCCACATGGGAATTTGACAATATTTCCCACTGTGAGCATAATACACAATGGCATAAACATGCTTTTTAAAATGATGTGGAAAAAGAAACAAAGTCCATGAGTCCAGGAGGCACAGAAGCAGCGGCCAAAACACACCTCCCCCCGCAAGCCCGGAATTAACGTCAAAACATTGGTCGTCAATGGTAACACACATTTCTCAATACTGACTTCACCTTTTATGAACTCTTCACACACTCAGCACAACAGAGGTCAATGTGGACCAAACCGTTTCATTGCTTTGGTACAAAATGCATGCAGCTGTGTCGCAAGAGAGGATCTTAATGTTTCATTAAATATTTCTACATACGTCTTTCTGAACAAGAAATGATTCATATCAACAATTCTACATATGTGTACATCAACGTTACAGCGTTTGAACCACTCGTGGTACTTTTTTGCTGTCTCGAAACTGCATTCTCAATTCTGTTTAGGCTTAGGCAACACAACTACTTGGTTGGGTTTAGTAAGAGATCATGGTTTGGGTTCAAATCAGTTTCTTACTTTTGGTTTCACACAGGATATGAACATAAGTCTACTGGGTGAAAGTCCTGTATTTGACCCATTCACACAACCTCCTCTCTGTGTGAATGTATCTGGACTTTGATTAAACGTATTTGTGATCAAAAACAAAACGTCAGAAACAAACAGAAAAAACATTCTCCCCAAATGTAACTGATGATCCAGTTTGTTTTGAAGCTGAAGCCCTTCTGGCCATGTGGTACCTGTCTGCTGTGTCAGCTTGACGGCCTCCTTCCAGTTGTATGGGAACGTATATTTTAGGAGAGCAGGCTGGTATTTCTACATCTGTGGCTGTCCTATACTAACTGAATATGTAAAATGTTGTATTGAAATATTGGAATTAATTAGTTTAATTTTCTGCACTTGGAATTACTATGAATAATTATTAATAAAATGGAATTATTATTACGTATACAAAGCAGCTAATTGAAGCATATTAGAGCATCTGTGACACATACTGTGAAGAAGCCCAAGTCATGCAATAAACAAGCGTCCATATTTTCGTTGTAGTGGAGTCTTGGTTTATGCTGAATAATTTACATAAATGTATATATAAATGACGCTTCACTACAACAGTGATACATGTTGTGATGCTACTTGTTAGTGTTTGTGTAGGTCATCGTGTTCTGAGTGACAAAGTGTTTCTGTTGGTCCTACACTTGATCCTGTTGCTCTGAGCTGCGAGTCAGTAAAGAGAAGTGTGAACTTTACTGATGAGGTGAACTCACAGGAAAATGTAAAAAACGGTTTTATTCTCCATCATCAGGTTTTGAAGGGCTTGTTGATGACCTTGTCAATCCATCTCAGAAACCTGCTAACACGTGTGTACACTCCAGGGAATGAGGGGTTACCACAGCCGTGACCCCAGGAGATGACTCCTGTCAGTACCCAACGGCCCCCTTCCCCTTGGCAAACCAGCGGACCCCCACTGTCACCCTGGCAACTGTCCACACGGTGGCGCTCCGACAGGCTGCCAGCACACAGCATGCGGCTGGTGAAGCGGTCATTGTAACGCCTCTTACACTTCCAGGCTGGGAGCAGGGGGACCCAGGCCTGGAGCAGCGTCCGGGAGTACTCTGAGTCTGAGAGCAGGAAGCAGACAGGAAAAAACACATGAGAGTACAGACATGTGAAGATATCTTATAGAAATGTGAATAATGAAGCAAAGCTCCTATGACGCCCACGTCTACAATGCATCATAAACATACGACTATTGCATTATAATCTGCATATAGCACTGTATAGTTATAGTTATAAGCACATCTATAAAGTGATAGGTACTACCACAAATACACTGAACCACCACTTGGTGCCTCTGGTGGAGAGGAGGCCAATAAACCGGAAGTTTCCAACAGTCTTGCATTCCTTGTTTTGCTTGTGATGGCAGTAATAGGTCAACAATACACAATACTAACAATACTAACAACAACAACAACAATAACAATAATGATAAGTCCTTAAAAAATGTTTTATAAAATGTTATGATGATTGTCATAAAGCATTATGAATATTTATGAGGGCTTTTACAACTAATATACTGTGCTATAGGCAGATTATAATACATTATATTAATAAGGCGTTATAGACATGGGCGTCATAGACGTGATAGCAAAAGTGGTGGTAGTGTTATTGATACTATTATTAAGTACAGTGGTGATTACTGTGTGTCTTTATTAGTTATTAGTTATTAGTTACTATTATTAAGTACAGTGATCATGTGAACAGACACAAACTTATCAAAAGTCTCTCCAGCTGTTCAAGCCGACTAACAGCTGATCCAGCTGTGATCAGAGCCGCCGTCATCAGAAACAGACGTGGCTTCACGTGACGCTTCAGAGGAACGTCTCATGTCTCTTAAAACATATTTCCTCATTTCCTCTCTCCTCGCATGGTTTCCTTGCGTCTCTCCATGCATCCTTGGTGGGAGGGACTAAGACGCAAGGAAAAGACGCAAGTGAGGGAAACGGGGATGCAATTAAGAGACTTGGGATGTACCCTTAGTCTAGACGGAGATCATCTCGAAAACGATGCTGAAACGCCGTGTGGACGGAGATCGTATTAGTGTGGATGTAGACTCAGGAAGCCGCAACAAAGGGGCTGAAGAGCCGCATGCGGCTCCGGAGCCGCAGGTTGCCGACCCCTGACCTAAATGCTACATACTGGCCTTTTAAGATACTAATGGTAAAATGTTTCTGTTACGTTAAGATGAATAGCTTATGAAAAACAGTTGTTTTATCCCGTAGAGTCTACCTGTGATGCCCCAGCCAGTGATCACACAGGCAGCCGGCTTCTTCTCCCACTTGTTACCCGGCTCTGGCAGACACACGGCGCCAGTGTGAGGGTTGAATGCAACACAGTTGCCCTCTGTGCCTTTGAGCCGCAGCAGGGCGATGTCATACTCCCAGCCCTGACTGTGGTATTTCCTGTGGATAACGATGCGTTCGGGTGACAGGGTGCGTTCAAAGTCATCCTGCTCCTCAGTATGGTAGTCACCCAAGCGCAACAGGTAGCGGGTTGGGTCTCTGCCAAACCTGGAAGAGCAAAGCTAATTTGTAAATGATGGTTTTGATGAATGCCCATCGTTTAATATGATAAATGGTAAATGGACTGTACAGTACACTGTTCTAGTCTTCCGACCACTCAAAGAGCTTTAACACTACATGCCATTCACCCATTCATACACTGATGGCAGAGGCTACTATGCAAGGTGCCACTTGCCCATCACTGTCTAACCCATTCACACCACACACACACCGTAGGTACAGCCTTCTGGAGCAACTTGGGGTTGTCTTGCCCAAGTACACATCGACATGGACTAGCAGAGCCACGATATGCAACCAAATAGGCATCCATGGTGAAGACCATTTAATGTAATAGAAAAAAAATGCAAAGTGCTAAAAATAAAAACAAACACTGCCAAAAGGTAAGTTGATTCGATTAAACTGATACACTTGAGAGAACCAATTAAAGAACATGGTTTTACTTTGTTCTGGTTTCAAAATAAAATGTACAAGGTAAGACATACTTCAGGTTACAGAGAGACAAGAGTCATAAATGTAACGGTACATTATTTTACATTACATTACAGTCATTTAGCAGACGCTTTTATCCAAAGCGACTTACAATTCAGATTCTATCACATTTCTATACCGTAGGCACAACTACGGGAAATTGAAAGACGGCCCTGCTATCTACTTAGTCGTAAGGAAAACTTTCTGAAACTAAGGCTTTCTTTATCAAAACAAAATACAAATTATCTTACTTATTTTGCAACAGCAAAGACTCGATTCAGATTTAGCAATTCATTCCAAACTCTATGAAATCTTTTAAAAGTGGTATTTTTGCATCACAACTGAATTTACACCAAATAAATAACTCTCTCCACATGCCAACTGCACACTAATCATATATTAAAAACAGTAACTAGGACTTTAAACTGGAGCTGACATATACATAGTTGCCGTGTTATACTGTGAACTATATACAGTATTTGTTGTGCACACCAAATTCCTATTTATAGTGCTCAATCTCAGATTTTTAAGTGATCTAATTGGTAACAGGTGTTTTCACAGGTGCATTCTGGGTGCAGGTGATTGATCATTGAGCGTGGTATTTCAGACAACACACACAGGCTTCTAGTTTTGAATGTGTATATTGTAGATAACATGGAAAAAAGTGTGTTTTTAGAATTTTAAACTTAGTGTAAAGCAGACAATGTGGTGATTGTTCAGCATACCTAGTCAGCAGATACATACATACAGTACATACATATATACATGCAGTATATACATATATGCATACATACACACACACATACATATATACATACATACGTGAGTAAGTGCTTTCAATGATTGTGCTACAAGTGCCAGTTTTTATGTCTTGGAAATTAGCTTAGCATAGCTGCATAGCTGGAATGGATTTTGTGACATCAACCAGAGGGACACATGGTAACAGGAACCACTAGAGGGAGCTGTCTCCTACCTCTTGAAGCAGTGGGCGGCGGTCACAACCCAGCAGGGGTTGATGAGTGACGCTCCACACAGAGGATGACTTCCTTTAGACTGAGACCTGAGCCACAGAGACACCTGCCAGGGCCACTCACCCCTGAAATCACAGGCACACAAGCCAGAGTTAGGCTTTCAGGGGGCTGCTGCTGACTGAAACAGCTGAACACACGCGCACGCGCACACACACACACACACACACACACACACACACACACAGTGGTGTTACATTATAAGGGACATGCTTTTTTTGTCCCCAAAAAGAAGGCGAGTCCCCACAATGTGACTGCTTAAACATATTTATGTCAACACAACATTACACGCACAAACACACACGCGCACACAGGTGTGCTGTTATGGAGACAAGTCCTGCCCACACCGGAGGAGAAATCAGTTCATGGCCTTCCACTGACTTTGTATTGTGTGAAGGTTTCCCTTCTTGTCAGTGGCGTCTGCTAGCAGAGAAGAGAAAGACGCCTCAGAGCTGCTGTGTGGTGAGCGGCACTACCAACGAGGTAAAGAAGCCGGGGAACCCAGAGGATACAGCCAATAAGATGTGAGGCATCAGCAGGAACAATGGGGGACTGTGGGATCCTGACACTCAGGATGCTAACGTCATGTGTGCAACAAGCATTTTGTCCAAATATCAGTTTTAGGCTATCCATATTTCTGTAAGTTATGCTAGTTTCTTGTGTTATGGCGGAATGTGGATACATCAGAAAGCTGCAGTGTTATGTTTGCAAGTGCCTCACCTTACTAACACATGGCTAACATTAGCTCGCTAACAGCAAACTTTTTCCATGCCATCATCATTTTAGTTATCAACTGCACCCCTAGTAGACACAGGGTGCTAAAATAATCCTTTTTACATGCTGAAATCTGATGTTTTTAGCTAGCTGCAGGCATTCTGATAGTGTTTCAGCCCTTGGTGGCATAATGCTGATTGTTTTCCCCTCTGGTGGGCGTGGTTTTCAGTGTGACGTGTTGTGCTCATAGACTGTATATAAGGACTGGACATAGTCATTGTGATGTCACCCATTGGTTTGTGGAGTGCCATTTTGAAGCCTCGAGTTCAGTGATTTCACCGTCGCCATCTTGTATTACGACTGTCGGCATTTGTTTTTTTTGCAACCTATGAATGGAAGTTACCATATTTTTAACACGTAGGAGTGACGTGGAGAATATGTATACCACATACAATCAGACTTCTTTTTGCAACCGGAGGATTTGCCCCCTGCTGGTCAGTAGAGAGAATGCACGTTTTGAGACACTTCCGTATTGTTACTGGAGTAACACATGTGTTGGTGTTCCATGGACGTGCAGGGGCTTAAAGAGACAATGTGAATCAATGTGTGTGAATCTACACTCATTCCACTGGAGAGTGTGGTGGTACAAACCTCAGTGACTTATCTCCTCCTATGATCCGGCGTCGGCGGCGCTGGTTATTGCGTCTCGTGCCACAGGTCTGCATTGCCACAGCAGCATCTCCCACGGGATCCAGAGTGTAGTCACAGATGACGCCTGCATCCTCACTGTGGCGACAGTCCTGACTGTCTTGACCCACAGCCGGACATTGGCCTAAGGACACCTCAGTGCCCGAGCATCGGACGTTGTCCAGATGGATGGGACCTTGACCCTCCCCAAAGTACGCCATGGATCGAGCTTTAGCCACACCGCTAAGAGGTCAGCACACAACGACACACAGCATCGTGATTATTAGTTCCTTTTCTTATATAAATACATACTGTATATTACATGAGCATTACTTTACTGTTTTAATTTCTTTTTTTTAAATCACATTTGTTTGTATGACATTTTTTGACTCTTGTTTTGTTTAAATTTTTTCGAGAAATAAATGTGATTATCTCAGCCCTGATAATATCCCTGTGAGGTTGAAACCAGCTAGAATTTGAAACAATTAAAAAAAATGTTCGCCTAAATAAAAGCTCTTAATCTACCCTTTTTCTCCTGCTCTGCCAAAGAGTGACTGACTGACACTGAGTGTGTGTATCTGTTGATCTGGCTGCTTTACATAATTGCAGAGATAAATAAAGTTGTATTGAATTAAATACTCACATTCCTCGAGGCACTGGCCCAGGAGGTGCAGTCACAGCCATCTTTGACTCAAGTCTAAGTCTAAACTAAATGATATCTCATTTGAAAGCCTTGTTGTTAGTCTTTCACATCCAACCTAGAAAACTCTACAGCCAATTCTATTTGTTATAGTGTACCGTGCCCCAAGTCTGTATGCTGAATATCTATCTGTATTCTCAGCAAAACGATGCAACCCTAAGAACACCGAACAATCTAGTAGTGCTCAAACTCCAGCATCACAGCAGGATTTGCAGCAAACAACGCCTTGACAACAACTAAAACTCCAACAACATCGGCAGAAACTACTTGTGTCTTTGTCTATGGATCATCTGACAGCAGAGGACCTCACTGAGAGAGGATGTCTCTATCCTGATCCAAGAGTTCTCTAAACTTCTACAAGCCTCATTGGACTCACTTACAGACAACAGTGAACTCTTTCCTGAGCTGGCGAAATACTTTGAACGTTTTAATGGTAGCATTACCATGGTAGTCCAAGCTGCTTTCTTCTGGATGACCTCGAGAATCGGTCACAGAGAGCCAATCGAACGGTAAAGACGTTTGAGTTCATGGTGCAGGTGTTGATGTAGAAGAAGGTTTCTGAAGTTTGGTATGCACCACTGGAGAGAGCCCACTGGACCCTGACCTTCAAATACGGCCAAGATATTTGGTGGTGTGTTTTTCAAATACAGCAGAAGGAGCCTGCATTCTGAGCCAGAAATCACAAACTGAAGTACCAAGGAGACGTTATAAGGATCTATTAAGACCTCAGCGCAGCACTCGCTAAAAAGCGGGCTTCATTCAACAGTATAAAACATTCCCTGTACCAAAACAACGTCCTGTTCCAGGCCCGGTATAACTATATACTGAGTGTAATAAGCTTTGAATATATTATAAGTCACTGGGAGCCTTCGTGGAGAGGAGTATTTAGAGGATGTACTACAAGACGTTTTGGGATATCGTGTTTTTGCCTGCAGATTGCCTCACAGAGAGGAACAAGTATAGTCCTCGTTTTAGTTTCCTTTTTGCTTGAGACCTGGGACAGGGATATGGGAAGGAACACCCCGACATTTTTGGAACTTGTATTCTTTTTTGTTCTCCCTACAGAGGTTATTCATTAAGCTGTGTCACAACCATTTCTTTACTTTATTAGCATCGTCATTATTATTATTCCTGTTATAATTAAACATGGAAAAAAGATCTACAGTAGGAAAGGCTAGAGTATGATTCATTAGCTCGAACGTAAAAGGAGTAAACGGGCCTGAAAAAAAGAGTAAGAACATTTAATCATCGTGAATATTTAAAATGTGAAATTACATTTCTTCAAGAAACCCACTTATTGGAAAAAGATGAAGTACGACTTTGGAAAGCTTAGTTGGGAAAACTATACTGGTACATGAAAACATTCTGTTCAATGCACCACTGTTATTTTGGACCCACAGGGACGCTTTGGTATGGTTTCTTGTCTCCTTTTCGTACCAACAGTTTTTTTGTGGCAATCTAAAGTGTGCAATTAATCCAGGTTTAGACCTTTCTATTCCATCCAGCCATTAAACACTGATCGGGGGAGGGGGGGCACTGGGGGAAGGCAGGGTTCTAAGGACGATGATGAAGACTTTAACAAGACCAGCTCATTAAATATAGCGGATGTTCAGTACTCTATTTCCACTTCTCTTGAACTCTATAAAGGGGAGCTTGACCTCCAAACTCAATATAACTTCATCAACTGGAGACAGAACAACTCTTGTTAAAATCATGTGGATATGTCTTTGAGCATCGGGACAGAGCTGGCTGTCTTTCAGAAAACCAACTGAAGTGCAGATCAGTTGATCAACAAATCCCACAAATGTTGAATTAACTATGGACCCAGGAGAAATGAATGAAACATTTACTTCCTTCTATTCAAACTTATATACGTCATAAATATCAAACGACAGAACTGATATGGAACATTCCTTCAACAATCTTCAGGCTCCTTCTATAAGCACAATACACAGGGCTGAACTCCCTTTACAACATGCACAAATCATTAATGCAACCAACGCAATGCAAAGCGGCAAGGCGCCTGGCCCAGATGGCTACCCAATAGAATTCTTTAAAAGATTTTCCAACAAATGATCTATAATTGTACTTGATACGTTCAATGATGCTTTGTCCTCTGGGTTGCTCTCACAAACGCTGACTGAAGTATCGATTCTCCTCCAACCTAAACCGGGTGAAGATAATGCAGACTGTGGCTCATATCATCCCGTCTCCCTCCTGAACTGTGATGGGAGATCTGAGCCAAAGCTCTTCCCCTTCGACTACAAACCACAGGCATGATGTGATCGCCAACGACCAAACCAGCTTCATCTCAGGACGACATTCATTTACAAATAAAAGACAGCTTTCAAATCGTATCTGCTCTCCTGCATCCAGTTAGAAACCAGAGGTGGTCATCTCACTGGACGCAGAGGAAACTTTTGACAGGGTTGAATGTTTGAAATAAATGGGGTTTGGTCCTAATTATATTGGATTAAACTCTTATACAACTCACCCAAAGCTTCTGTAGTCACAAATGCTCACAGTAATCACAGCAATCACAGTACTTTGAGCCGTCAGGGATGACCAATCAGTCCACTGCTGTTTGTAGCGATCGCACTCAAATTTTTACCACCAATAAGTGGAATTCATAGAGGAGGAGGAGAGCATCATTTATCTCTATAAGCGAATCATTTGTTGTTATACATCATTATCAGACCCCATTCTAAGTGTACCTCATATTGTCCATGCTCTGAAGAGATTGGATACATGTTCTGAACTTAAGTAAAAGTGAATGCTACCCTGTTAACAGCCTGGCTCTTTAAGTAAAGGATAGTGTCATACCGTTCCAAATGTCTAGAAATGGCTTTAAATATACAGTATATGTAAATATACTTATCACACAAGACATGCAGAGCCTTTATCAGGAAAACCTCTCTCTTCTATTCGAGAAAATCAAACGAGATCGAAAGAAATGGAAAACAGTTAACTTGTCCTCAGCAGGAAAAATGATTTGTATTAAATTGAATGTGCTCCCCAAATTCCCTTTTCTGTTTCAACATATTCCACTTCATTTTCCTTACTCTTTCTTTAAATCTAAGGACAAAGACATCACTTCATTAATATGGAACGATAAGAGACCTAGAGATGTGTAGCACTATTACAGAGGCCTAAACTACCGGGCTCTTCCAAATCTTTGCTATTATTATTGGGCCGCAAATGTCCAAAAGATGATGTATTGGCTTCATACTCCAGACATAGAGTGGTGCCACCTTGAAGCTACATCTTCTTTCTCAACATCTCTCAGAGCCCTGGTCACTTCCAGCCTTCCCAATTTCACAATTTAAATTTCATGCAAAACCAAAAATGTCAACCTGCTGGTGGCACTAGACGAAAAGTTAGAGCATCACCATAGTCGATAGGATCCATACTGAGGTAATTATGAATGTCTGTACAAAATTCCATAGCCATCTCCAGAGCCACGCTGCTAGCATGGCTAAAAATATCCAACTCTAACAAGATATCATTGAACTTCCATGTCTGGCTCATGCCCTCTGACTCTTTATGTTGAGACTGGACTATCGTCTTGGGTCTTCTGTCTGTTTTTTCCTTGTTTCATTTCTTTGAAGTTAACTCAAAAGTTAACTGTGTCTTTCAGGTGATTCTCTGCCTTCATTAGTTTCACCTGTCTCTCACAGTTACATGTGTTCCCGCTCACCTCTTCCCACTTCTCCATTACTTTCCTTTTAAATTTTTGACACTGAGTGAGCTTTTGACTAGCTTCCTTAGGCAAAAATATCAGAGAGGGTATAATAATACTAACGTGAATCCCAGCTGTCGGCAAACCACAGCTGCATTGACATCATTCCAGTCATCATCACACACGCTTCCCCACTGGCCGTTAATGAAGACCTCCACTCTGCCCTCCTTCCTGCTCTCTCCAGCAACCAAACGCACCAGAGGGCCTGCAAACAAAGTTAGAGGGAAAACCTCTTTTGTTCTTCATTGTGATAGTTATTCATGCCCTGTCGTTTTCAGATACCTTTACAATGGAAATATACTAGTGCTGGGCAAGTTAACACGTTGTTATCGCGTTAACGCATTCATTAATTAAAGCCGACAATTATATTATCACGCGTTAACGCAGTTTTTTATTTATTTATTATTAAGCGACATTTTTAACACAAGAACCGGGCAGCGAGCGGTGAACAGCTGTGTTCGTGTGGCGTCACTTCCTTCTCCCCCGGGTCCTGAACCCCTCCTACACTCTGTCACCGTCCTTCACTCTTGTCTCACAAACACACATGCAAGCGCGATCTCGTTACAGATCAAAGGTGACTGTTGTGAAGTGGAGCTTCTAGTGAGGATCAAGACACGTCTGGTTTGAACGGAACACTTTACTGTCTGAACTGCAGTATTACAGTGTTACAGTGAACACAACGAGCTCTTGCACCCGACATGTGGTTTTCTATGTATCAACATTATTAGCGTCAATAACACGTACCATTCTACTTCCTGTCTCTTCAAAGTAAAAGCACTTCCGTTTTCATGCTCTTCACAATAAAAGTAAATGATGCAATCAAACAATTTACAACAGTGACAATATTAAAATACATATTGTCGAGTTTTTAAAGTGTTTTGTTTGTGATATGTATAATAAGCATCATTTAGTTATTGCTACTGAGAATTAAACAAACATAAAAAAAGAAGTTGATATGTTTGCAGTTTTCAAGGTGTATATTTCAAATATCATCTCTTACACACATGAAGATAAAGTTATGAACACCGGCTGAATATCTATTATCAGAATCATTATAACTGTATAACTGCTACTGTGTAAAGGGAATACTGCTGTTAAAAAGAACCTTATTTGTTTAAAGTGTTTGCAAACCAAATGTTATTGACCTTTTGTTCATATAGCAGTACTTTTAACATAAAAGTGTGCAATACACTACTTTTGAATTCATTATTGAATTTTGCCATAACAATGCGATTAATCGTGATTAAATATTTTAATCGTTGCCCAGCTATATACATAAATGTCACAAGCGGGAAATGTAACTGCCATCCCTTTATAGCCACCACTGTGTGTACTTACCAATAGGAGTCAGAAGGCCTGGTATCTCATTGGTATCAGCTCCCCCCTCACAGAGGACACCTACATCCTCACTGTGGGAGCAGTCATGTTGGCCGAACTCAGAGTGGCTGCAGGCCAGTAAATTGGCCTCTGTTCCCCGACACTGCACCTCGTCCAGCAGGATCAGCCCGCGACCTTCATACACCCCGTCAGGAGCCACCTTCGCTCGACCCCTGCAGACAAGGCACAACAACAGCACGTCTACCTCTCTTTGGACACTCGCTTTAATGGTGCAAAGAACAGCATCCCCAAAACTCTGGTAAATGTGAGGAACTCTTCTGTTTGCTGAATCTTTATTTAGGTTGCTGAAATAACAGAAATAGTATAATTTCCTATAAATTGCAGATTCTGTTCAATTCAATTTGTAACGATTTTCTCCAGATTTTGAAAAATGCAAATGAGGTTTTCTATGGACTTAAATATCTTAATATACCTAAGTGTGCGTACGTGTTTATTTTGTTTATTTTGATCAGAAATAAAACGTTTTTGTCTTATATTCATTTAATCAGAGATATGCAACTATGGGCCACTGCAAGCTTTGTTTCAATATATTTTCATTGAAACCGGCTGATTTCAATTTGGTGAAATAATCTGATTGAAATTATCTGGTATATGTAATCATCAAACTAGTCATATTTGTTGCTTGTGATGTTGGATGGTTGGTTTTTTGTCTGTCAACAATACACTTTGTAATGTTCTGGCTCCAAGATAACCCGCTTGTGCCAAAGTACTTAAAAGCAACTCTCCAAATCCTTTTGGACTTAATGGCCAATTTAGCATTAAAAGAACTTGACACTCTCATGTTCCTCTGATAATCTCTGTCCATTTAGGTCATCAAATGACTTTTCTTCAAACAACATCCAAACACAAAACTATCAGCTGTGTACACAATATAATACAAAAAACTAAATGAATGATGTAATCAGGTGTTCATGGTCTCATTTGTCTTGAATGTCTCGTTGGGAGATCAGCTGTCAGCCTGCAGGTGTTAACAGCTCTGTATACCTTGGAGTTTGTATTTGCACAGATGGTATGATGTACTGTTAAATAAGTAGGGCGTACACCTTTGTAGAGAAGTTTTCCAACATGAAAAAGTGAATGTGAAATATCTCTGTGTGTTTCGCCTTAAATAAACAGTTTGGCAGCATCTTACATGAAATAAGGCAAATGAGTTGCATGGTCCCCAGTGGATGACTGTAGTCATCCTGTGGCCTTTCATTCAATCCCAGTCTTCCATCAAAATGTCCACTTACACAAAATATATTCCTTAATGGTATAGACAGATTGCCATGACATTTGGTGAGCACATTTATGCTCTCAAATCAAAGTTTGATCGATGTTCCTACCCCCTCCAATCATTGTGAATTCTGGGGAGTTCCCCAAATAAGGCAGACACATTTTGATTCTCCTGCATGTTCACAGGTGAGGATCTCAGATGGACTAGGTATGTAGGAAGGAAGCACGAAGGAATAGAACTTCTGCTCCTTTGCATTGAAAGGTAGTTTGTGCATTTGATCAGGAAGCTTTAAGGACCAATCTGAGGAGGTATTCCACACATCCAATGTCGTAACCTATAGGCTATCCTACTGAGCCAAGACCTCCTTTTCCTCGTGCTGCTCGTTGTTTACAATCCAATTAGCAGCTTGAGATGCGAGACTGGAATTGACTGACCGGATTCAAAAGGTAATATTGAAATTGAGTAGAGACAGATGGCCCAGCAGGTTAATGGTGCATTCGTGTGCTCGTATGGGGCTCCTATTTCCGGAGTCGTGAAGTCGTTCTTCTGACTTCTGTGTATTCATGAGCTTGAAGTTGTCATGTGGAAACGACATGTACACTACAAAAAATGTGTAATTCTAATTGCTCAGAGCTTTTAAATGACACAATGATCCTGTTTTCCAGTTGCGTGACAACAAAGAGCAGAGGAAAGTGAACTGATCAGGTGAACCATGAGATATGATCGGAGATTCATGGAGAAACTGCAGACATATTTGCTAAGAGTAACAAAACTTGAAAGGTTTGATGCGTTAACATCATAGACTGTGTATAAGAAGTGGACGTAGTCGTCATGGTGTCACCCATTGGTTTGTGGACTGATGTTTTGAACCATTGAGTTTGGCATTTTGACCATTACTGTAGTAGAGACATGGTAGGGAGGTAGCCCCGCCCTAAAGCATCCCCTGCTTTATGGTCTGTTTGACTCTAAATGGAACATAATGTTGTAAATGAACATCATACTGTATTGAAGAAGACTTGAAACTAGAGATTGAGACCATAAACTCATGTTTACAATGTTTACTGAGGTAATAAATCAAGAGAGAAGTAGAGTCATTTTCTCATAGACTTCTATACAACAAGAGGAGTCGCCCCCTGATGGACACTAGAGAGAATGCAAGTTTTAAGACACTTGGCTTTACTTTTCAGAACTGGAGGTTGGCGCCTGGTTAACCTGTATCAACCCAAAGGAACGAATTCTGGGAAAGAATCAGTTGGCCCATCACTACTTTCTTTGAGCTTGAGGATATGGGTGAATTGCCCCTTTAACAGGTGCGCTGATGTCACGGCGTGTTGTTGGGGTGTGCGTGATGACGTCACCCGGAAAAGAGCTGATGTTGACAGAGCGGTGGACATGGCAAGCTTACATCAGATGGTTGAACACTTTTCCTTTGTTTTCTTTCCTGACAAAATTATTTTAATGTCTTTGAGGGTCGTTACGGCCAGATTGGAATTTTTTGACATGGGCAAGCCATCTGCGGACCCTGCTGGAATGCGGTGATGCTGCCACTGTGTAATATTAGCGAGACCATAGTGGACGGGTCGATGGCAGGAGAGTGGAGTTGTCCTCGAAGGCGATGGAGGAGGAGAACTGTGGCTACGGTGATGGCCTGTCCGTGAATTGCCGGATATGAAGGAGGCGGCACACTTGAGGAGTGGTGCTGCTCCTAAAATTCTGCTATGTAAAAGAAAAGGCTTTCATTTTGCTTTATCAGGGAAAATAAAATGTTAGTGCCGAAGAATGATCATCTGGGTTAACCCCTTATTTAACCCTAACCCTAACCCTAACCCTAACATGATGGCACATTCTTCATCCCTACTTTAGACTAATATAAAATCACATGGAAGTACACAATCTCCTACTACACAGAGGTGTTCCATAGGGACTCAGATATGGTGTTACACTGACCTGAAGCCCAGCTGTCTACACACTACCTGGGCGTTGAGCTCAGTCCAGTTGTCGTCACACACAGTGCCCCATTCTCCCTGGTGGTAAATCTCCACGCGGCCCTCCCAGTGACTGTCTGCTCCCATCAGACGAACTGCACCGTCTGCTGCCACACAGGGGAAACACTAATACTTTATTCAATTACATACTCATGTGAGTGCATAATAAATCTTGTATATTGGTGTCTCCTTTAGATCAGTTAAGATCACAGTATGCCTGGGAGGATTAGGGTATCTAGAAGTGCTAAGTCAAATGAAACTCAACTTGCTGTAGCTTCGTTTCACTACCCACACAAAAAGCTAGTGGGAGCAATAATCCTCTGTAGTGTAGTGTCACGACATGGAAGGGCCAACTCCTGGGGTCAACACGCAGCCGTCTACTGACAGCGAAAGTACATCTTGTACACATTTTAGACGGAGAAGACAGCTGGTTTGAAAGAGGAGGGAAGGAGGCCATCTACTGCTGCATTTACACTGCATAGTACGGCACGGCTCTACTCAACTCGACTCACTCTTGTTTGGTTTTCTGTTAGCAAAAACTAGTAGCTGTTACTGGTTGGTGTTTTGGTAACATCACTTGCGGAACACCGGACTGGGTATCGGAACTCCGTATTAAACGGGCCCCAGTGGTAAATTATTGAAGACCGGAGTATTGATAAGCTTCAGAAATCTTATTTATTTCATTGATATCTTAGATTTGATTTCTGTAAGATATTGATGACTTCATAGACTTACTTTGCTGTTGTAAACATTACTCTTGCTGCTCTAGAAACAATATTTAGTTAGAATTAAAATGTAAATAAATTAATATATAATAATAATAACGATACATTTATGTTGTATATCGCTTTAAAAAGGTACTCAAAGTCACATTACATTTCGAAGGAAAGCAAAATGTCCGATAACCTTTAACTCAGCGCTTCACAGTGATATCTGTTGTCAGAGGATTCCTGCTCAAATAACCACAGTAGAAATGTTGCTGTTTCTATCCTTTTGTTTCTCTTGGCATATCATATTGGTTTAACAACTGGTCAGTTGCTTCCAACAGAATTGATTACAGTGTCATCAGTGTGTGTTTTCTTCCTTGGCTCTGACCTGTGTATGGGTTGCAAGACACTCCTGCGTCCTCCATGTGGTCACAGTTGTGTTGCTCCCAGATGTTATGAGGACACTCCTCTAGAGAGAGTTCATTGCCTGAACACTGAACCCCATCCAGGAAGATGGGACCAACACCCTGGCCGAAGTGGGCCCATGTCCATGCCTTGGCCACGCCCCTGTTGGTCAGGACAAATAAACTAAACATGACCTTTTAAATGTACAGCAGCACGAGGTCAATTCCACACAAAAACATATATGTTTATATTGATAAAATCAGGGTGAATGTTATTATGTGGGCTATATGCAGTTTATAATACTATTGCTCACACTGTATGTTCCTGCACCTGGTGTTTCTGACGTTATCAGGGCTTGCACGTCATGCGGTAGGGCCCCGCAAGTGGTCGCGGCACTTGGTCCATTAATATGAGTTATGTGTTTATATTTAATTACAATTCCTCCTTGGCAGTGAAGAGTTTGGTTTATGGAGTTTTGCTGGTTGCTCTCGTTGTCTCTTACTTCTTCACAGTAAATTTTGATCACCTTGGTGGCGACTGTGGCTAAGTGGAGAGCAGGGCCCTCCTTCAGTCAGAGGATCAGCAGTTCCATCCCCGGCTCCACTAGTCGCATGCCGATGTGTCCTTGAGCAAGACACTTAACCCCAACAATTGCTCCCGTAGCTGTGCCTACGGCGTATGAATGTGATAGAATCTGAATTGTAAGTCGCTTTGGATAAAAGCATCTGCTAAATGACTGTAATGTAATGATCATACACCATGTGGCGTTCCTATGCTCATAGCTATTCTATTCATCTGTTTGTACACTGATCTCTGATGATCTGACAGAAAGTCGGTCACAATATATTGATAAATTAAGTTAATGATTGTCTCTTATTTCTGTAGGCAGGTAGACTGTCTACATGCATGTTACCTCAAAATCAGAATCAGTTTTATTGGCCAGGTATGAGTCTACCTGGAATTTGACTCTCTATCTTGATGCTCTCATTGTACATACATATAAATGCAGCTAAAGAGATGTCACACACTGTACAAAAACACTTCTCTTCAGTATTCATTTAGACTTCAAAACTGAAAGGGTTTAGCGCAGAAGAGATGCCAATAGTTTGATCCTGACTCTTCTTCATTGTCAAGCAGTAGCACAGCAGTTGTTTCATACCCCAGGCCCAACTGTCGGCACACCACCTCAGCATCAGTGTCATCCCACCGGTCATCACAAATGGTTCCCCACTGGCTGTCACGGTACACCTCGACACGGCCCTCAAAGTCCTCCAGGCCTCCCACCAGCCTCAGGGGGATGCCAGTACCTGACAAACAAAAGATGGAGCAACAACTTCAGACACTGGGTCTCTGCAGAAGTGGGCATGTGCTCTTAGAACTGTGTGCCCCTCAGCCGTGCATTTTAGTTAGCAAAACAAAATCACTACCCGAATAATACTTGTGACTTCCTTCACAGGCCCCATAGAGGCCCATGTTCCAGCTCTGCTGTCTAATGTCTTTTATCTGTGTGTATGATTGTGTACTGGGCTGCCTCAAAAGCTTTTAAATGAAACAGAAATGTGACATGGTGACACAGTTCTTCACAGATCCCTCAAAATCAATCCAGCAAGTCACTGGTTGCTTGTTCATCTGTTCTCTCCCTTTCAAATGTTGGTTTTCTGACCCTTAAACACTGAAGTCTTGGATTGTGGGTCCCTCAAGTGACGCAAACATCAGCTTGTCTTTCATCTGTACTTTCAGGAATGACCTCCAGTCTGTCTGGATTCTGCTTACTCACCTGCCTGGGGGGTTTGTTCTGCTGTTGTGGTTGCCCTGATGGCAACCAAAGGCCAAGAATTGGTTACCAATTTCTCAAAATGGTTGCCAATGCCAACCTGGCAGCTGTTGCCGTCGAGCCCTGAACTGAGATGAAGCAACCATAGCCAACAAAAGCCACTCACTTCTGTAAAGTGATTGGTTACTTTGCGTTATAATTGGCAGCAATTGAGGTCTTAAAACTATTCTGAAAGAAGACAAGATCCCAGCACTGTGTTGTTATGTGGCCAACAGTGTCATGTATCCAGCATTATGTGTGAAAATGATCCACAATACATTTGTTATTATTGATCAGTAATGTGTTTGTTTATATAATCTGAGATGACACCCTTGTCTCACCTTCAGGTTCAGCACAAACCAGCCCTGCCTCATTGCCATGGTTGCAATCGCTGGTCACAAACTTCCTGCTCCGACACTCAAGTAGGGAATTCTCATTTCCACGGCAACCCAGACGCTCATAGTGGAAGACAGAACCCGGGCCGAAGTAAGAATGCTGCAGGGCTGTCCCGAACTCACTACATGGACAGCAGATACAGGGACATGAAAGCTACTATACTCACAGAGAACATCATGCAAGGGCAAAGGAAATATCACATGGAAGACAGATCTTTAAGTATTTCAATGAGGAGCTACTCTGTCCACTCATACTAAGCTCGATGCAATTGGAGCATTGCTCCCAAGCTCTATATACTACATCCTCAATGGTGTGATCCCCTTCTGTTTATTTAGTTTCCAGCCTGGGGTGGGGTAAGGCAATGAGGCTTTGACGGATGGCCTACTGTGTTGTCTTGTTCACCGTCGGTTCATATACTTCTACTTCTCCTTGCCTCTCTACTAAGAAGGAAACTGCTGCATAGCTATACATATGACCATGCCATTTGTATAGTATAAAAGAAGTTTAATATGAGGATTCAGGAAAGATTGGGTGATGGTTGTGTTGGGATGTGTTGGGATGGTGGGGGTCAAGGAAAGGTATGAAAGGGGGTCAATTGCGCAAGATGAATGATGCCATTCGAGGGGGGTCGACTCAGCTTCCTGCTTCATCATCCCCCCAGGGTACAAATCATGAAGCAAAAAATTAAGCATATGTAGTTTATAGTAGTATTTTAAACAATAAAACTCAACTAAACTAAACCATTCCTATTACTTCCGAACTCCCCAAAGTAGAGGCAGTGAGTCAAACTAAAACTGCAACAAAACAGAATAAAGTGAGATTGGTTGTAGCTTTGTCAGCAGTGAATTCATTGTTGTTCACAATCATGGTTTCAACTGGTTGTCTCCACATGGGTATTGTCATGAGAAACATGTCTGGCTCAGTGAGACTGCCCTCACCCCAGTCCGAGCTGTCTGCATATGACGCTGGCATCACGGTCGGTCCAGTGTGTGTCACATACTGTCCCCCACTGGCCATTCAGATAGACCTCCAGACGCCCGCTGTTGCCTGATGACCCCCCTGCCAATCTGGCTGCACCTGCAAATGACACACAATTAAACCTGTTACAATTCCTGAAGAAGAAAATAAAGATACCTTTGATAATGAGTGCATGGCAGCGGTTTGTGTCTGTCCTGCTGTGGCGGAGCTGGAACACAATTTAGCCAAGAGGAAAGTGTGGGCTATAGCTCTTACTGTAAAACATTAAATCCAAGTTGCAGCAGGAGTAGCTGTTGATAAAGGTATATTAAATATAAACATAGTGTTCAAAATATGAGAAAGAACTGTAAGTTACAAAAAGTGCAGAAAAAGTCAGCCTTCTGTTTGAATATATTCTTCACATCCAAATACCAAATGTAGGAGGTAATGGGTAATGAAACTCTTGGCTGAAGCTCGCCGGGAAGCTACTTGGTTGATTTGTCTTCACCCAGCCAGATACAGCAATCTTCGGCAATACAGCTGTGACATCAGAAGGTTCCTGTCCTTTCTCCAGTTGCCTGTCAGCAATCTTTAGTGGTAGTCCTGGTCCAACACCCCCAACCAGCAGCTCCACATGCCCTCCTGCACCAGTCCGTGTTTTCGTCTTACAACTTTGTGTTTTTAATTCATGAAAGTTAATTGTATTGTAATTTTGGTTGCTTAAAAATGACCCTCTTGGCTGCTTCATACGCTTAAATAGTAGCATGACACAGCCCTCTATCCGCTACCACGACACTGCACAAAAGACAAAATAGACCCAACTGCACAATCTAGCCAACTTTCCTTGCAACAGCACTGGAACTCTGACCATTTGTAACTGGCAATGGTGGAATGGTGGGTGCTGCTCTAGCCGCCAAGGATGGTCTGCAAAACCTGTGCAGACAGACGAGCACCCCTCAGCCTGTCCCCCTCAGAAGCCAAGTCTGGAGAGGATGGGCAGCGCTCCTATTGCCCACGCCTTCTGAGACATAACCCCCCAGATTTGGGGGATGGACCAGGGCTGGGGCGCCATTATCAGTGATGTGGGTCCCAGCCATATAAGGCAAGATTCCACGGCGTCTGGAAGCATTACACTGCTGCAACTCACTGAATCCGATTATTCATTTGGCAGATGCTACGGTTGCGATTCTACGGTCGCAAAGTGATGTTCATGGTACTCTTCGGTGGGAAACTGATGTACCGTACACCGATGAGATATTGTCATCATCATTGTCATCCGCAGACGGGGTTCGGTGTCTCAGCAAGGATGACCGGAGGCAGCGGTGGAACGTTGGCAGCTGGGGTGGGGACCTCAACCGAGTCGATCTCAAGTTCTGGCTCATCTCAAATCAAAGTGTCGGAAATGATCTCACCACCGCTGCTGGGTTTGTATCTTGGACAGTGCCCAGCAGATCGGGCAGGCTAGTGGCTGCTGAACCATTGAATTCAATTTAATTTTTTGTATAGCCCAAATATCACAAATTTGACTTGGGTATATGCACCAATGAAGCACAATATCAGCTGTCATTATAAGAGCCTTAAGGTGGGTCCTGCTCTGTTACCTGATCTTGAGGCCCTATCTTGAAGAGGTTCCCTGTGTCAATATCAAGTTGAAAGTTCTAAACTAATTCCTTATATGCTGCATATTCCTAAATTAAGGTTTAATGATATAATATAGGAATCAAATGAACACACAATTAGTCATACAATCACAACAATCTGGAGCCGGTTAGCATTTTAACTTTGAAACCTGTACATACTGCACAGAATGGGATGAGCAGGTGCTTAACACAAAGTTCGTGGTTGTTGTGGGCCCCCAAGCAAGTTAACACTACCATTACTGGAAGGAAAAGTAAATGGTGACAACCATCAATCTGTCTGTCCATACTTCCATCTGACTGCCCATCCATCCATCCATCCATCCAACTGTCCATAAATTCATCTGTTTATCTATCCACTCAACCGTCGATAAATTCATCAGTTCATCCATCATCCATCCACCTGTCTGTATTCATCCATCCGTCCATTCATCCTTCCATACATACAGTATGCCCTTCCATTCACCCAGCCATCCATTCATGTCCTTCCTACCATTTATCCATACATCCTTTCATATGCCCTTTCATTCATCCGTCCATTCATATGTTCTTTCTACCATTCATCCATCCATCCTCAGATACCTGGTGCCCTCCGTTAGCTCACCCTGATGGCAGTCGCAGTAGGCCCAGCCAATGGCACCGGAGCTCTGCCTGATGAAGCACCAGGGGTTGACCTCTCGGTCTGGGTTTCGGCAGAAGCTGTGGTCCCCCAGGCCTCGGCCCGGGTACTGCCGCATGTAGTCTGGGAAGTCTGTCCACTTCAGGCAGGCAGAGCCTGAGTCCGTGTGGGAAACGGAGCCGTTATAGTAGCCCAGTTCTGTAAATCCTTCTGAACAGTAGAGGTGAACTGCAGACACAGACCATCACTCAGTCAATCATACACTATTAAATAACATGACATGAATATTAACAAAACAATAAGTTTCAAGATTTAAGAAAAAATACACAGACAAGACCAAATCTAGTTGGATGCATACAGACCAATTTTCTTTCACTGAAGAATTTTATCCCTCAAAGAGTGGGACCCAATGTTGGTGCTTGTTTTGTCCGTCCAACACCTTGGTTCAGAGCAAAATTTGGATTTTGAGGTGTAATGTATTTTACAGCCTCTTGGGGCCACTAGTGAAGCTTAATAATATTAGTGTAAATCATGATATCAAAAAACTAGTCTTTACGGTGTGTCCGACCATGCCGGTGTGGGGAGGGGAGACTGATTTGACTCTAATCTCAAATGATTCTACTATTGTGTGTTGCTTATGCAGAGAACAGCTCTGTATTCCCTGTAGAGGTTATGTGTTGTGTGTGTAATGTTTGGGTTTATTTCTGAGTAGTTAGGTTCTCTTTTTCCCCACCTTTATTTCCTCAGTGTAGATTTGTGCTGTGTTAGTTGAGTTTGTTCTATTCAAATCTTTGATTTGGCACCAACTGTGGATCCTTACTATTTCTGTATAAAACTAATTCACTACAGTAAGTATTGTGAATACAATATATCAGTATTAAGAACCCTAAATGGTACTTTACCATAAAATAAAGCACTGCATTAAACTACAAAAGTCTAATGCAGTGCTTTAGGCTGTAACAACATATAAAACATATGAGGAGCTTATAACATATGATACACTGTTAAATTAGCCAACTGTATATAAAGTAGTTTAAGATGAGCTCCACCTCTAACAGCTGCTTAAAATGCTGCTTATGCCCGAGCCACACGACCTGCGTGAGCGGCGCCTGACGGCTGCTCACTGAACACGGCTGTGGTGTCCACACTGACAGTGTAGCAGCAGCTATCAGTCCTTATTTTCCCTTTAATAATGGCCAGAATGTTTCATTTAACCTCATTATAAATGCGATAAAAACACTTTCCTGCTACACTCTGGCCCTGTCAGTAAAACAATGAAATGCAATACTTTTACTTGTAACAGAGAACTTTTAAATTGTGGTATTGTTACTTTCACTTAAGTAAAGCATCGGAGTGCATCTTTTATTTGTACCTCTCTGTTTCACTGGCATATGAATGGTCAGAGGTGATCATTGGTTTAACACTGGAAAAACATTTTGAACAGTACCATAGCTGAATTAAATGCTAACCTGCTCAAATGATCACTGCTTTTTAACTCCATTAGGATCTTTATTTTTGCTACAGTAGGATCCTCATTTGCTGACTTCCTGTTTTCAGTGGGATTAAAAACCGTTTTCAACTCCTCCTCGGGTTATGGGATCCTGGAGCGATAGCTAAAAACAAGTTCTATGAGGCTAGAGTACATTTCAAACTTCACACATTCATCTGGTGGGTAGATGGTGGTTTAACAAGACAATACAGAAATGCAGGGAAGACACTTAATAGTAACCAGAAGCACCGCCAACTATAAAACTACATCCTGGGCAGACGCTATGAGACTAGTTCACACACACACACACATGCACACACAAGAACAAGAACAACCCTGATTTACTCCTACAGTCAATAACTCAACACTGGCACATGTAGATTCTTGTAGATTGCAACACAGCTGCCACGCATAAAATACTCAACAGTCAACTCATCCATTTTCCAGCGGGAGTATCTGACAGGCATGAAGTCAGTGAGGCTTTGTTCCCATTAGTGTTCAGGCCTTGTTGCCATAAGTCACGAAGCATGGAAATTAGGTAATCTACATGGACTCTCTCTGCTTTAACTGTGACCGTGAGCCATAGGCACAGGATTGATACACAGACTGCTGCTGGTGGTGGGGGTGGAACAGTACAGGGTACTGGTTTATTGTATACAGACATGCTGTGACTGGAGGGGAGAGAGCAGAGAGCTGAGACAGGGAGGGCTGGAGAGAACAACAGACAGAAGGAGCATAAAGGCTACACTGTCGGCTGCAAACTTCATTAGACTGTCTGCTGAGGGTGAAGAGAATTAGTAACTATGGCGTAACTGAAGATGGGCAGGATAAGAAACAAGACACTATGACGCTCTTCGTACCCAGCTAGAGCTTTACAGGGACTTAGCTTTAGAAAACATTGTGCACAATCTCTCATCCTGTGTCTACTACATTCACAGGTGTGTCTAAATGCATGTGCAGTACCCATACAGATGATTCATCCTCACCTTGGATTTATTTAACTTTAATTTTTTCAGCATTCAATCACTGTGGATGGTATTATCACTGGACACTGATTAACAGGAGAAAAAACCTTTTAACGTCAAAGTGAAAGCAGATCTCTTCAAGCTGACCTAAAAGGTGCTCAATACCGAATTCACACATCTATTGCCTCCACACGGCTCTCAACATGGCGATGGCTGAGACTGAGCTGACAATGTCAACTGAGGGGGAACCGGAGGATGGGCGCTACATTACAATTGTAACCGCCGTATGAGAGCAGTGCAGGGCGGCAGCTGTGAGCTAACCAGTGGGGCACGCTCACATGCACTGAAAGGAACGCTCACGTGCACTAATATTTACGGGCGACTATGTGAACAAAGAGAGTAGAAGCTCTGATAACAACACACCCAGAGGGAGAGAGACTTCATTCTCTGCTCAGGTAGACATTACTCCTCTACATCTTTACATAGATGATAGTTGTTGATGAGATATTAATGATCTGAATATGATATTGACAGCCTTTAATTAATCCAGATCTAAAATACAAATACACAAATATATATAAATTATTCCTGAGATATCGCCTTCATGAGAATTGGATGGTGTGAACTTTGATCATCAAATTCTTATCAATTCATCCTCGAGTTCAAGTGGACGTTTGAAAAAATGTGAAGAAATTCCCTCAAGGAGTTCCTAATATATGGCATTCACTAGAATTACTGGAGTACATGCAAACATGTGCTTTGGAAAAACATTATTGACAACAGGTAGTAATGATACTTGCCTGCACTCTGCACAATATCCAAGTGTCCACCTTCAGTGACCTGTGAACATTTAAAAAAACTAAAATCATTGAACAAGTACAGAGTTTTCTTCACGAAAAGTGAAGAAGTGATCAAGCCACAGACATATGTTACTGTGTGGCAAACTGCAAAACTTTTACACCGTTTTCATGCCACACACCCAACTTTCATCGTAGGTACTGAAGACTTTGGAGCCCATAGGAGAATTTCCATGTTGTTAAATTTGTTAAAGAACTGACTTTACCAGCGTTTCCTCAACAACATTTATAAGCCAGTTTGTGTCAGCAGAGTATTAGGAGATTATGTGTCCTTCACAATGCTGAGCCCCGTGTCCTGAACACCCCCACTCATTACCAAACAATATACTGTACCTGCACATATAACAAAGACAAAACAGCTATCGAGAAGGAGTTTAACATCTCTGCCAGGCGTTAGATGATGTGCTTGTGTGTGTGTATCTGTCTGTCTGTCCACGGCTAATCTCTCATACTACTGGACCCATCAGCCTGATATTGTTTGTGCTCATTTATGACTGTACGTTCAAGACCTCTCCTGGTTGCGGTGAATCACACTTTTTGAAGAAACATATTTCATGACTGTTTTCTCCTCTTCACTGGCCGGTTTGGGGCTGCACGAGATCAACATCTGCTTCAGTAGCAAAAGGCATTTCTGTCAATGCAATCTACTGAGGGCACCTTTCTAGTGTTTATCTATATTTAGGCCTATTTTTGCAAATTATGTTTGGTACATACAAAGCACACAGATGGTCAGGTGATAAGGTGATGATGCTGCTAGAGCAGTTTGAGACGTTTCTATACATGTTGTATTTAATTGTTTGACATGTTTTGACACATGTCTTGTTGTGAAACTGGATTTCCGATGTAATCCACTGTATCTGTGTTGATACCAATCTGACTACAGCTGACATATTCCATACATATGAATCCTGCAGCTGTTAAATGTTTTTCGGTGAACTATTCCTTTAATTTTATTTTATGCTTACAGCAGCAGTTGCAGTCGTGTGGTTTTGCCAGATGTTACTGCTCCAAGTTCTTTTTTTTTGGTTGCTGTTCTGATATTGTTCTAATATACAGTATATGCTTTCCAGTCAGTGACCACTTGATTCCAAAGGGCCAGACATTGTTGTTAATAACACTGCAGATAGCCAAAGGGAGTGGAGTCTGATTAAGGAGTGTATTCTGTGTTCAAGGTGCAATGAAGCGAGATCAACTCATCATTAGTATCATTGAATGATTCAGTATCAAATTGGGCAGTTTTCCTTTCACATTTAAATCTAGAATAATTTTTTCAGTATCTTGCTCGAATTAAAGCTAGGGTTGGTAATGTACTTTAGAAACATTTGTTTTGTTAATATTTGTTAAAATAATCTTTAAATCCCAACAGCAATCATTAAATCAAATGCTCTGACAAAAAAATAACAAAATCCTAATACCTATATACCAGCCGGTCTAACTGCCTGTCAAATTCTGCCCATGAACACATCCCTCGTCACAGGAGTCTATCTTAACAGCTGTGAGACTAACAGTAGTCATGTTGGTTGTTTACATTCATAATGATAATGTTTGGGGAGTGGCTGTGGAGGGAGGTCTGGGGAGGCCAACAATGTGGACATTAATATGCATTTGACATTAGATGAATTCACAAAAGTATGTGTATCCTCAAACATTCATACAAATCATTCAATATTTATTTTGAGTGTTTTTCAACGTCCACCAATACGAGCGATGTGCAAGCCCCTACAGTGTTTAGGGAACAGACAGGTAGACAGGCAGGTAGACAGGCAGGTAGACAGACAGGTAGACAGGCAGGTAGACAGGCAGGTAGACAGGCAGGTAGACAGGCAGGTAGACAGGCAGGTAGACAGGCAGGTAGACAGGCAGGTAGCCCGTCCAATCCTTCCATTCAGGCTGAATGAAATGATTGGACGCCTAATAAAAGTCCAGCCACAGAAACCGGATTGTTTTCATTTTTTTGTCAGAGGATTTGATGAATTGATTGCAGGATGTCATGAAAATGGATGACAAAAATATCAAAAATGCTTTTGAAGATGATTACCAACCCCACCTTTACATTTGGATTTGATCCGGTTTGGGAGTTTAGAGGGAACAATGGGCTGAAGTCCATCTGAAACACTTAAACCTGCGTCACCTGAAAGAGCTGTTGAACTGTGGTGTTCAATAATGTGATATGAATCAAAATGAGGGTAGACTTTGACCTGCTGATAATATGAAGCAAACAGAGGAGACCAACCACCAATGAAACAACAAACAGACCGCAGCACTTGGACATATTTCGTCTGTACTTACTTATCATAGTGCATGTGTATATTTTGGGTTGTGTTCAGAGCGCTCAGTTTAAATGATCTCAATGATTTCATCGAGACCTCAGCTTGATTTAAAGTGCGCATTGGTTTACGTACACAGACTAAAAAAAAAAATCACATCTTTTTTATTTATTTGATCTAATGTTCTACGGCCTTGTTGATGTTATTTCAACGAAATGCTCTCATTCAAATAATCTCAAAGTGCCTCAGATTATTATATTTCCCTGTCATTAATTAGAAGGCAACCGAAGTTAATTCCAGGAAACTTCCTCAATCGTGAGGAAATGACAAAGTCCTAGAATAAAGCCCGTTCCGGGCTCACCGACAGATCGTAAACAACATACAGGCAGCAGCCCGCTTACCTCTGCAGACACGCACAGGGTTAAGAGCAGACAGCAGCGGGACACGAACCCGGTCCATCCTGCTGTAGGAACCATCTCCTCCACGCCCTCCACATACACCTTCACCGGCTTCCCCCGCCTCCTGAGAAGTGTTCCCCTCCGACAGATAGCTAGTTGACGGGTAAACACATTCAGAGACACCGGCTATGGTCTGCTCCGTTCTGAACTCACGTCCAGACATCCAACCCGCTCTGAAGCTAAAAATGACGCGCTGTTGGCGAGGAAAGACTCTCTCTCTCTCTCTCTCTCTCTCTCTCTC